ATATATATATTAAAATATTAATTTTCGCGAACCATTTAGGTCAAGGAAATTCCATTTTTTGCCATCAGTAAGGAGAGTTGTACAAATAATGTGAATACACAGAACCCCGATCCAATTCATCTTTTGCTAAAAATATTTATCATTTTCTGTTTTATATCTCCTAACATCATTCCATTTTTCTCTAACTTCGATTAAAATATGCCAAAACCTGCAGTAAAAATAGATGTATGCCCCAAATAAACATTCCCCGATTGGTTGAACTACTATGGCGTCGATGTAAAGCAACGCAAGCCTCGATGTAAACCACACGCTTCCCAAGAGTAAGGAGAGTTGTACAAATAATGTGAATTCACAGACCCCCGATCCAATTTATCTTTTGCTAAAAGTGTTAATCATTTTCTGTTTTGTATCTACCAACAACATTCCATTTTTCTATAATCCCGATTTAAACATGTCGAAACCTGCAGTAAAAATAGATGTATGCCCCAAGTAGACTTCCCCGATTGGTTGAAAAGCTGTGGCCTCGATCTAAAGCAACGCAAGCACACGCAAAAATTTCCGTTGATATGTTGAACTTCGACCCCGGGATTCAGCCGAGGTAACCTTTAGCCGATTCACATAGAGATTTTCTTCCGCTCAAATGTAATTCTAAGTGAAGTATACTGGTAAAGTAAAATTATATTCTTTTACAGAAATATTTACACATTTCATCATTAATGTATTGTCATGCTTCTGCATATTTACGCTGAGCTTTAGTTAAATATAATTCTATACAAATTTTGTTACGTCAAGCATTAAGAGTAAGAATATATTTCGCGCCAAAACAAGAAAATAATCTGTGTCACAAAATAAGTTTATCAGCATCCTTCTGAAATTTTCCAACAGAAAATAGCGTTAATTATAGAGAAATTTTGGTGAGTATTACTTATTAATGTAAAGGTTCTCCAGAGGTGGTTCTCTACACCTTCTTGGCGGTCAATTTAATCCCATTTATCAATTATCCCCGATGCCGATGGCGATGACACACAGTCGATTTGTGTCATGAGCGAAAATCTTATCTATTTGATGAAATAACTTCTTCATTAACTGTACATGCAATATTTTTGTAGTTTTTGATAACCGTGCACATTCCCATTGCATGTCCGCAAGATAAATGGGTTATGCATTTGTGAATTGTGTAAGTACAGTAAATAAGAATAATGCATTAATGGCGGGGGATAAAAATTTGTGACGGTCAGTGCGTGATCACGTGACATTATTATTTGTAAACAAACGGGCTCCCCATGTAACACGTATCGGAACTATCCATACAAGGTGCAATCAATCTTATATTTCACTATTTGATGATATTTCTGTGTCTGTTTGTAGGTTTATCAGATCAGATGTCATAGTGTAGTTTCATAGACAAAAAAGTACCATGATTGTTCCTGTTCAGTAGTTGTGATTTTTTTTTTATAGAATTAGAAGGCAAGTCTACATTAGTCATTATTTAAATTAAGTCTGAAAAAAATGACTCAACTCTCTGTGTAATTTTTCCCCAATTTTTGAAACATGCATAATTTAAAGAGCATTTGCTTCCCTTGATCCCATAATGTTGGTCATGTGACATTCTTATCAAGTGTAAGTTAAAATGAGGGTGGTAATGGGGGTACCTTCATGACGAATAACGGTAAAAAATCTTGCCAAATGATGTTAACGGTAATTTTTGGTGCATGACGATAAAATGAAGACTTTCTTCAAGATGATAAAAAAATCGACAGATTTTGATGAATCACGTTAATTTTTCCCCAAAAAAAACGGTAACAATAATTATTTGAGACCTCTGACGAATCACGATAAGGATATGTTGTTGAATCACGGTAAAATGTTAACATATTTGACGCTAACGGTAGCCTAATTGACCGTTTGACGGTAAAGGGCATTCATACCCTCTAAAATGCCAGTATTGATGGGTCAATGTGAAAACTGTCCAAATATGAGAAGATAACGGGTGGCAGGTTGATCAAAATTACTTAAATGAAGAGAAAAATGAATAAATTGAGGCTTGATTTATATGGATCCAGTCGCCTCCAGAAGCAATGAAGCAGCACATCCACTTTGGACGGGCAAATATCATCTATCTGATATGGGACCAGCTGAAGTCCCACTGCCCTAGCTGGTGTCGCAAAACAGTCGTTGGAGGTTAGCGTAATCTCGGACTACAAAACTCAATTCCAATGACAAAAATGCCCTAATCTTAAATTGAAAGCATTGGAAAAGTAAACCGTAAATTATAATTTTGACAATGACCACAATTTGTTTTAGTTCAATGTACATGTAATAATATGGGGGATAATACATGAACTTAATACTGCTTCAAGGTTATACAGGTTTGTCAATGTAAAAATAAAATAATTTGTTTGCTAACTTAGGGAGCTACTATTTGATTTTTAGGGGGGGGGGGGGGGGGGGTCTAGGATGAAATTTGAAAAAGGGCAGGATGAGACAATATGAAAAAAAAGGCAGGATGACAATTTATGTAAAAACAAGTCGGGATAAACTAATAGAAAAAAAGGCAGGACAGATTACATCTCGAACTAAAAAAAAATGCAGGACAGAATTTTTCATCCTAGCCTCCCCCCCCCCCTTTTCCCCCCATAAAAATGGAAAGGAAGCTCCCTTATAGTGTTTCCTTCAGAGGATGTTGGCCTGGAAAGGTAACCTGCAGTTTTCATACGCCTGTTCATGAGAAATATTATGGTATGCCTTTGTCCGTCTGTCTGCCCTGATCTGTCTGTTTCTAGCATGTTGTTCACTAACTCAGTAATATTTTCTGGTGAATTGATTATATCTACTGACGTGAGCTCCCTTTTAGATTTTTAGGAATTTTATAAGATACCTTTTCAAAATGTGAGGTTTTATTCATTAAAAAAGGAGGATTTTCATGTTAACGCCCATTAACTCTAAAAATGCTTTGTTCACTAACTCTTCAACACTTTCACCAATTTGCATGAAACTGTTGTGAATAGATTTCGCTTTTGAAGGTCGGTCAAAGCGAAGTGGCGACCGGGAAAGCGACTTTGTCGCCCCAGTAGCATGGTAACGTAAGCACAATGCTTATTACTTTAAAACACAGTCCTGTAATATTTTTTATTCTACTATTACAAAATAATCCTCTATTTATCCTAGGTGTTGCACTCAGTATTGTTGATTATATTTATATGTATATGTAGTTAAGTGAATGCAACCGCCTTTTTGAAGGTAAGTAACAGTTAACAAACTTTATCACTTATCAGTAGTTTAGAATGGTTTAAAAAAGGATCTAATAGATGTTACATGCATTATGCCTTCCTCTCAAAAAGTTTGCATGTGTTTTAAAGTGGTTATTTAGCAATGTAATTTTTTCCCTCAGTATTAACATTAATTTGGAAGTAAGTTAAAGGATTTCAGTAAACCAAAATTATTTCACGCCTAATTTATATAAACAAATCCCACGTCGATATATAACATGTACAACAATCAAACATCAACCCACGCCAAACTGGATGTAATTGAAAGACATCTAGAGGTCAATATACAGTCTCAAACAAAAGACAAAATAAGGAAAAATATAGCGAATTTTTGAGAAGAATTATTATTGCATGTATATTTGCAATATTTAAAATGCATAGTTTAAAATCTTTTAAGTTTTAGGTTCCACCTACCATTTTAGAAAACTGGGATTTCATTGCAGCTAGTCTATTAGATAACATTTTATAGTTTTGAATGTTTCTTCATCAGTTAACTAAAATTAGGTGGAGGTATGTTCTTATTTCTGACAGAGGGGTACTCAACCTATATTAATTTGTGCATGAAGCGATCGATAGTTGCTAAATACTGAAGGATTTTACCACAAATTTGTGAAAGTTTTAACCGGTGTATATACTTAAAATATGTTAATAAAGTTCATGTCTTTTTCCGGACTTCTGAAATGTTGTTTGTGCTGTATTTAGACCCCTCTACCAAGAAATTTGTTTTGCATGCACACGTATAAAAATTGCGGTTTTTATCTATATATATATATATATATACATAACAAATCAAGAACACAGAAAATTTGAGTTAACGCATGCGGAAGAATATCTCAAGAACGTTTTGCGGGAAAATATGAATGCCTACTCAAATCCAATCTATTAGAAAAATCGAATTATTACAGAAGAGTGTCCACCATGCACTTGCACTGCATGCCTATTATTTGAATAGTAGAATAGAACGATATACAAATGGATGAAAATTATATATATGTAACTGTTATAACAACAAACCAGAGTATACTGATTTGTACCACTACAATATAATAGATATTACGGTGAGGTTGAATTCCCTGTCGTTTATTCATCATCCACGCACTAACTTGTCTCTGAAAAAAATATATCTATGTACCTTAACCTCACTTTCAGGTATAGAAATGTGATTTTTTTTTTATGAGACAAGTGCTTGTGAGCATCCACAAGAACTTGCGGTCATCCGATGTTCAGTACTTCAGTACTTTGATTATATATTTTTGGGGGTAAATACTCAAAATTGCGGTTTGTGGCTCTCTTCTAGTGTTTAAACTAACGTGATCTGGGGCTATCTTCTGGTGTTTATACTAAGGTGATCTGGGGCTCTCTTCTGGTGTTCATACTAAGGTGATCTGTTTAGAAATGAGCCATAATATTGTAAAATCTATATAGTTTACTTATTTGATTGTGATAATGTGAATTTAAGTAAAGATTGAAAGACTTTTTGAAAATGGCCCTGGTGTGAACAAAATTGGCCTTCTTTAAAAAGAGATTTATTTTTAATTTTCCTATTGTGAACTTCTCATATTTAGTACAAACATATGAAATATATGTGTCTCCCAGGTACTAATATGTAGTGTTCTGTGTAGTGGAGTGTGGATTGTTGTTTATCTGTTTTCTGCATTCCTTCGGTTATAGTCATGACAATGTGTATCCCTTGATACTAGTATCCTTCCCCTTTGTTTAATACGACTTTACTTACCCTTCATGAACGTATTTTTTCTTGAACAATCTCTTACTGTACACAAAACCAACCCCACGAGTACCACCTTCCCACAATGTCGTTTTAGACCCACGGAGAGGCAAATTACTGCCTGCAATATTTGCTGCTCCTCCATTCTGAAAATAGAAATAAAGTATTTAAAAAATTTATAATAACCTAATAGTAATACAGCTCACTCGTTTTTAATCTTTAAATCTAAAATATCTAGAAACGGCAATTAAATGTGATACCTTACTAGAAACGGCAATTAAATGTGATACCTTACTAGAAACGGCAATTAAATGTGATAACTTATTAGAAACGGTAATTAAATGTGATACCTTACTAGAAACGGCATTTAAATGTGATACCTTACTAGAAACGGCATTTAAATGTGATACCTTACTAGAAACGGCAATTAAATGTGATACCTTACTAGAAACGGCAATTAAATGTGATACCTTACTAGAAACGGTAATTAAATGTGATACCTTACTAGAAAATGTGTACATAATGACTTTTGTACTCCTACCACAAATACTGATCTTTTTTTTTTTAATACATTATACAATCCTTACAATTTATAAAATATAAAAACTGTTGTCCTTAACAGGTGGAAAAGAAAGAATAAGGTTATCATTTCATGACACAAATACACTACACACACAAATACACTACACACACACAAGAAAAAAAAGCAAATGAACAACACTTGTATTGCTGTTGTGTTAGATCAAAGTCATAATGAGGCTTCAACCAGTAACTTACATCAGTAGTAAATACAATAATTGAATTTCGCAGCATTTTGTATTTCTTCAAAGCAGTGATAATTGTACCAACAGATTGGTCCATTGCCGTTACCATTCCTGTAAAAGTATTTAAAAAAATCATGTTTGGCTGTGTATAGGAATAATAATGATACAAAACGAAATTATGATGACATTGTGTCATTTAAACTCATTTAAGCAGTAGTCGAGTATTCCATCATATGCAATTGCAAATGTTTGGAATATATTTTTAATGGTTCAGGGAATCAGAAATGCAGTTTGTGTAAGGTGTTTAAGCCTTTATGGAACGCCACATCTGCCTTATGTGGAACTCTGATATTACGTTATGTTGTTCTATTATACTTGATGATAGTTTGTCTTTACATAATATGGTTTTGACATTACGTATTGATGTTTTGATATAAGTCAATATGGAATAGTCATTGCATAATGATATTTCGATATTACATGATATGGTTTCGTATTGACTTGCTATAGTTTTGTCATTACTTGATATGGTTTTGTCATTACTCGATGTGGTTTCACCATTACTTAATGTGGTTATGTCATTAGTCAATGTGGTTTTCACATAACTTGATGTGTATGTGACTTAACGTAATGTAGTTGTTTCATTACATCATGTGGTCTTGTTATTTCGTAATGATGATTTGTCAATTCTTTATATGGCTTTAACATAACGTAATGATGTTTCAAAACTTTACGATTTTACACTACATGATGTGTTTGTTTCAGTATTTGATGTGGTCATGTCATTCTTTGATGTGGTTATCCCATTACTACTATGAGGTAAAACCACGTGACCATCTTGGAAAAAAATATGTTCTATTTTTAGACCGATTTCCATATGTCGTTTGTCTGTTTGTGTAATGCGCTTTGGATGAGTACCGCTATCCATTAAAATGTTCAAATTAAAGTTCAAGTTGTTGTTCAGAGTTATTTGGTATGAAAAAGTGGAACGACAGACAAAATTAAGAAAAAAAGTACTAAAACATTTACAGTAATTCGGACATAAGGGGGATATCCCAAAACCACTTGCCGGTTTTTCCTTAGTTCTCAAATGGAAGCAGTATTTGGAAGCAGTATTATACTAAGTTCGTAAATGGTTCCATGGAACACTGCTTTATCTTGGTCTTGAAGAAAAACTCCTATACAAGTTTTTTAACGATTCATGTAGATTTACAAATTTATCATGTCAAAATAGTTTAATTCGGTAATATTCAATGCAAAAAAAAACCCTATATAGAAATAAAAAAAATGTGGTATGATTGCCAATGAGACAACTCTCAACCACATACCAAAATGACGTAGAAGTTAACATATATTTGTGAATGTATGGTTTTTGGGAATGTCCAAAATTCATACCACATAGTAAGCTTAAAAAGGTCTCGAAATGAAAAATATAAAAACAATTCAAACTAGAAACCTAACAATCTAAATGATGAAGACGCCGACGATACTACCGACAACGGCATGTAGGTTTGTTGTATCTCACTGTCGCTTCGTGCATTATTGTCGCAGGTACGACACAACTCAACCGTATTTTCAACAAATCAGACACTTTAAATCAACTCGCACTAAAGTTAAAGGGAAATGGGGAGGGGGACTAAGCAACAAAGCATCAATTCTATATAATAAGAATTCTCCAGGTTTTTTTAGCGTGTATGTTCATTTGAACATATGAATATTAAACTTTTTTTTTATTAATTGCAGTTTCTGATATACCACGCACTAATTGAAAAAAAAAACTTTTTGAAATATCTGTTTCACATATGACGACGAATAGGTCCCAGTTGTCGTAACCACAATCCCATCATCTTTTCCTCGAATGTAAACTACCAAATAAAATCAAATCACTGAGTTTGTACTTTTACTAATAACACGACGGGTGCCACAAGTTAAGCAGAATCTGCTTACCCTTCCAAAGCACCCGAGATCACGCTGATGGATTTATGTTACCCAGTCATACTGATCTATTGGGTTGAGCCAATCAAAACTGTCTTTACATTTTCTTCTTATGCTGTGCTATGATACACTAGGTTAGGATAGGGATTAACGCTTACATACATGTTAAACTCCGCCGCGTGCACTTTCTTTAAATGCCTGCCCCAAGTCAGGAGCCTGTAGTTCAATGGTTGTCGTTGTTTCATGTGTGTCATATTTGTTTTTCGTAGATTGTTTAGCTATAAACTAGATCGTTAGTTTTCTCGAATTGTTTCACATTTTCACGTGGTGGTATTTACCGCTATATGTTCGTCGATCTTTATTTGTAACTTGTCTATATATACGCTTACATTTACCGTTATAGGTTGGTCGATCTGTATTTGTAATTTGTCTACATATACGCTCATATTTACCGCAATAGGTTCGTCGATCTTTATTTGCAACATGTCTATATATACGCTCATATTTACCGCTATAGGTTCGTCGATCTTTATTTATAATATGTCTAAATATACGTTCATATTTACCGTTATAGGTTCGTCGATCTTTATTGTTACATGTCTATATATACGCTCATATTTACTATTATAGGTTTGTCGATCTTTCTTTGTAACATGTCTGTGTATACGCTCATATTTACCGTTATAGGTTCGTCGATCTTTTTTTGTAACATGTCTATGTATACGCTCCTATTTACCGTTATAGGTTCGTCGATCTTTATTTGTATTATGTCTATATATACGCTCATATTTACCGTTATAGGTTCGTCGATCTTTATTTGTATTATGTCTATATATACGCTCATATTTACCATTATAGGTTCGTCGATCTTTATTTGTAACATGTCTGTATATACGCTCATATTTCTTTGGAACCTGAAATAGCAAAGGGAAACATGTTTTACTTTTAAAGAACGATTTTGAAAATGGATCTCTATGATGTTTTCTTCAATAAATACAAGTGTAGACTATTTTTTCATTAACCAGTTTAGAACTGGGTGTGTACTGCTTGGTATGATAGATATAAATACACGTACTTCTAGAGGGGGCGTACTGCTTGGTATGATAGATATAAATACACGTACTTCTAGAGGGGTGCGTACTGCTTGGTATGATAGATATAAATACACCTACTTGTAGAGGGGTATGTTCTGCTTGGTATGATAGATAGAAATACAAGAACATGTAGAGGGGTGTGTATTGCTTAGTATGATAGATATAAATACACGTACTTGGAGAGGGGGTGTCATAGGCAGAATTTAGTAGTACTTTTGCTAATTATTCTTCATAATATGTAAATGAGAATTGTACCACGTGATAATAGTTTCACCTTTGAACTGGACTGGCTTGATATCATTAAAATCTTTAAAACACGGATATTATAAGTTGCCCGTCACAGAGTCCTTGTTTATAATCACTCTGATATTTCCGTAAAGTTGTCAGGCGGTCAAAATCAAAACAATGAACGCGAATTTTATAGTGAATTTTTCGAGTTTTCGTGAGTTTATTCTTCTTCAAATAGGGGCATTTTAACTTTACGTGGGAACCTTGAGTTCAACGACTACACATACAAGGTTTGGACTTGCTTATTCTTTGGACATTCAAGTTTCAAGCTTCTTCCCGCAACCTGTTTTTGTAATGACCTTGTTAGCCAATTTTCAACACGAAGTTTGCAAATTTGACGTTTCAGCCATTTTAGCCTGTATTTTATACTGCAATGTTAAAAGCCTCTCGCTTCGATTTTTAGAATAGCTCAGGAACCTTGATTTTTGCAACGACAGTCATTATGTTTCGTTTAAATGGTGTATATTGTGTATATTTATTTTCTGTCCCCGCAACCTGTCTATCACTTAAATTAAAGTTAAAACAGACATTTTTTCAAAATTCCATATCATTTCAATATAATTTCCGTGACCCGTGTCCGATTTCTTTAGTATAATATTCAAATAAGCAAAGTGGCGTTGATTTCTGGATATGTACTGCTTGGTATGATAGATATAGATACACGTATTTGTAGAGGGGTGTGTACTGCTTGGTATGACAGATATACATACACGTACTTCAAGAGGGGTGTGTACTGCTTGGTATGATTGATAGAAATACACGTACTTGTAGAGGGGTGTACTGCTTGGTATGATTGATATAAATACACATATAATTGTAAAGGGGTGTGTTCTGCTTGGTATGATAGATATAGCTTTACGTACTTGTAGAGGGGTGTGTGCTGCTTGGTATGATTGATATACAAACACGTACTTGTAGAGGGGGGTGTACTGCTTTTTATGATAGATACAAATACAACGTACTTGTAGAGGGGTGTGTACTGCTTGATATGGTAGATATAAATACACGTAATTGAAGAGGGGTGTGTACTGCTTGATATGAAAGATATAAATACACATACTTGTAGAGGGGTGTGTACTGCTTGGTATGGTAGATATAAACACACGTACTTAGAGAGAAGTGTGTACTGCTTGGTATGATACTTGTAGAGGGGTGTGTAAATACCAAGCAGTACACATCCCTCTCCAAGTACGTGTATTTATATCAATCATACCAAGCAGTACATCCCTCTACAAGTACGTGTATTTATATCAATCAATCACAGCAGTACAAACCCCTCTACAAGTACGTGTATTTATATCTATCATACCAAGCAGTACACCCCACTCTCTAAGTACGTGTATTTATATCTATCATACCAAGCAGTACACACCACTCTAGAAGTACGTGTATTTATATCTATCATACTAAGCAGTACACACCCCTCTACATGTTCTTGTATTTATATCTATCATACCAAGCAGTTCATACCCCTCTACAAATAGAGTATGATAGATATAGATACACGTACTTGGAGAGGGGTGTGTACTGCTTGGTATGGTAGATATAAATACACGTACTTAAGTCGGGCGGGTTTTTTCTTTTTTTTTCGTTAATTGTTTCACTTTTTTTTTTTTTGCTGTTGGGGCCTTTTACGGCATCCTTCAAATTCATTTAATATATACAAAATATATAAAAGATTGGTATCTATAGCTGTTGTTTTTTTATCTAGAAAGGGATACTTATCAGATTATGCTTTGTTGCTAACGTCACAGTACCCAAATTGCACCCATTTTGCAAAAAAAAACATCGGAACTCTTAAAATTTTTTTTTAAGAAAACAGATAATTTGTATTTTTATAATTTGACATTATGCACGTCTTCCAACATAGCTAAATATATTTCACAAAACTGTCAAATTTTATATTTAAAAGATAAAGTATCCCGAGAAATAATCGACGTCCTCAAAAAGTTAACTTTAAAAAAAACCAAATGGCATATGTCAAGAAGCATATATTTCCTTCAAAATGATTAGTAATTGTTCTAAAAAATGTGAAGAAACACGAGTGCACACGCTAAAATTTCTCGCCTGCTTTACTTATAAATGAATTTATGTTAAAAATCTATAATATAAAACTTTTACTACAATTATCACATATGAAAATGAGATCACGGTCAGATGAACCATACCAAACAGCCATGTACATGTACACTAACAATCATTCCAAACACCAAGTACAGTTGACCTATTGCTTATTATATCGGATAAACTGACAAAACCATGAAAACCAATCACTGACCAATAAACCATGAAAATGAGGTCAAAGTCATATAAACCCTACTAGACAGACATGTACACCTTACAATCATTCATACACCAAATATAATTGACCAATTGCTTATAGTCTCTGCGAAATAGACTAAACAACAAAAACCAATCATTGTCCAATGAACCATACAAATGAGGTCAAAGTCAGATGAAACCTGCCAGCCGTCATATACACCTTACAATCATTCCATACACCAATTATAATGGCCCTATTGCTTATAGTATCTGAAATACAGACTTGACCATGTAACTTAAACCTTGATCACTGATCCATGAAATGAGTTTGTGGTCAGGTGAATCCTACCTGACGGACATGTACCCAATACCAAATATAGTGATCCTGTTACTCATAATAAATGAGTATTCCACTAAACAAAAGCATATATTTTTAAGCGGTCACTGAAGCGTTAAAATGAGGTCAAGTACAATGGACATATGATAGACGTAAACTTCGTAACATAATGTATCTGCATACAAGGTTTGAAGCATCCAGGTCTTCTACTTTCTGAAATATAAAGAAATATACAAATAGTTTAGGCCGTCGCCGCCGCCGCCGGATTGTAATCTCTATGTCTTGCATACTGCGACTTTCGTTGCATAAGAGACAAAAACTGCCAAAATATGTGCAATTTGGGTACCCTTTCGTTTCATGTATATGTCTATACATGCCAGTTTATTTTCGACTTATGAGTTTGAATATCCATTCGGTATCAGTCGCCTCTCCTTTATGCTTTTAAACTTGAATTTTGATAAAATGATTTTTACAAAAATTTCTGTAGAAAATGTAACTATATGTATTCTACATACCTCTTAAAATTTCCAAATATTTGAAAACGGTAAAGTATTACTGATACTTTATACTTGTCAGTGTATTAATATAATACTTATGAATAAAAGAAAGAGCTGTTTTTAAATGGATGATTATATCTATATCATATATGAATGAAGCCTTGACAATAGTTTTGTTTAATCTTTTGTTGATAACTTATTTAAATCATAGTATGTTTTTTTTTCTGGAAACCAATTCTCCACAAGACGAAACCGAAATCGAAACCGATCCCGATAAGGAAACCGAAACCCAGGTAAGTTAAGTTAGTTGTCAGTAAACTATTATATATAATGAGCTATTATTGTCTTTTATATGTATTAATAATCATAATAATATTGTGTTGTCTGTATCTGTAACTTGATTGATATGCTTGTTATGAGCCCTATTGTGGTAGAGTGTTTTACATTAATATTTATTTTCTTTCAGAATAATTAATATTAATTAGTAGTTTTATTATATGTGTTTTAAGAGTTCATCAATTCTTCTATTCTCTTATGCAATCTTATTTTCTTGGTATGTTATATCTTCTTAGTACTGTAGTTCTACTCTATTTTTCTTGTTCATTAGTCAGTCAGTCATGAGTCTTCTATTGGTCATAGTCACTGAGTTCAAAGTTTTACTACACTTTTTGAATACCTTGAGAGAAAGATACACATCATAACAGCCATATTTAAAATATTTAAATTACATTATATTCTGGATACTAATTCCACATTAATCAGGTAAGTTACTAATATTTCTAAGTCTTTAATATTTACACAGTTTTCCTTTAGTTTGAATCTGAGAGAAAATGTATTTTTGAATAAGTCAGAATGATTGTGTATGAATGATAGATATTTTATTTTAAAGAAGTATTTTCATGAACTCAGAGAATTAATATATCATAGATATATTAATGATACATGTATTGGTACAGTTATATTATTATTATAAAAGGTCTTAAGTAATGTTTATTGGATATTATACTTATTGTGTATAAATGATATGCAGATATAATTTAGTTCATTAGACTTATGTAGGTTATATTTGTATTTTTAACAGGACCAGAATATCTCGATGTTATTATGATGTTTCCATATAGGATATAGACCTGTGTACCATATACATGGTAAGATCAGTGTTTTCAATGTATTTTTAGTTTACTGTATTGTCTGTGTTTGTCTATTTAATTTAAGTTCAATAAATGTATTGTTTGTATCTTTAGCATGACCGAATCAAAAATAATTTCTAAACTTTATTTCATTAACTGTACAAACGGAAATAATTCAATCTTAAAAAAATATCAAAAATCTCTATCTTCTCATGAAACACTAGCTTTAAATAGTCTTTCAGGCGCTCAATGCTATATCATATCTAAACATACAAGACCACGATGTTCTCGGAAGGAACACGGTCTTCTATTAGAATTTCTTGAAACGCTCCAGCGAAATTATGGAACCTGTCTATGGTTTCTTGTGGATGAATCACGTTTTCTGACAGCAAAATCTGTTGTCTTTGTCCAAAAGTACGTAGGTCATAAAATGTCATTCCCTCAGTAATACTGATCTTAACAATCAGTCCATTATCTTGTTGATTGTTTGCTCTAAAGTTAATAGCATATTCTAGAGAACCACAGGCCGATATAAAGCGGGATTGGCCGTTGGATCCATATGCAACATGACGCACTATTGAACTTGGAATTTTGGGAGCTTTGGCAGAGAGGCCATTCGCTGGATTCTCGTCTGTTCTTAAAAGCCTATAAACTTCCATCCGCACTGCCATATCTAAATAAATTAAAACATAAATGCATAGAGTTCAGAAACAATTAATGATGATACAAAACAAAATTCGATACCATAGAAAACTATGCTATGTTCCTTTGCAAATATGCAAACTCTTTTAAAAATATTTTGATGTCAGACAAATCAACTTGAATATTGATTAAACGTTAAAAAAATGAAAAACAAATCAAAAATATACTTGTGTTTATACAATTCATTGCCCGGAGTGTAGAACAAGGCTGGATAAATTTAACAAAGATGCGTTTTCCTAAACTTAAATTGGTTTCAGTTCTGGAAGTCGCATTCATCACATATTTTAAAGAAAAAATACTGAACATAACCCACTAGCAATACTTAAAGGTTGCTAAAACAATCAACAAAATATCGAATCTAGGAAAAGATCTCTAAAGGAATATATTCTAGATAATCGATTTTTATAAGCTACCTTTACACGGTACGATTTTCAATCCGATTTGATACCGTTGCCCAGGTAAATCGTACAACGTTCTATTCACACAATACGATTTTCCATTCGATTAATTAAACAAACGACATCCGATTTTAGTGTTCACACGATTCCATTTTAGTCGAAAGCATGTGCACAGGTAAAAATCGAATGAATATCGAAAGGAAAATCGTACCGTGTGAACGCAGCTTTACATAACCTGAATACAATTTTGCATTGTTCATATAGGTACATGCCCAGAGAAACATGTATGGACGTATAATAAAGCAACATTGTTTTACCCCATAATTTATAAGCTTTGTGTAGTCCTTTTGACTTCTACATTTGCAGAAAAAAAATCTTAAAAAATCCTTTTTTTTCAACCCATTTATTCTTTTCTTGATGTATGTTAATTTATGAACACTGACTATTAATTTCAACATGTTTGGTCTTTAGTTTAAAAAGTTACTTAGTAGGTCTCTGTAAGAGTCTCTGTGTTAATTTAATTTTTTTGAGGTATTAAGACATGCTTAAGCTTGCTGGAGTAAGGATAAATAATCTAATAGACATGATATATAGAAGTCAAACCGTCTATACCTTTGATCAGCGTGTAAATTGCTATAATTGTTTATTTGTATCGAAATGAGATGACAAATTATAATTAAACTTACATACGTGGTAGGTTTGATTGTCAAAGTTACATATGGAAAAGTGAATACCGTAATGTAAACTTCGGTAAAAGCGTATTGTATACTAAATAGTTGTACTGATATTCGTTGTTCGTATGTGTATATGTATTTGTTTTTAAAAGCATAAATACTGACACGGTTAGTTCCTTTTTAAAAATGCATCTATGCTTACGTACTAAAGATATGCATACGAGAATTATGTGAGCTTAAGAAGAATACTTTTTATTCCACCCCCCCCCCCCCCCTACCTTGCGGAGGGCGATTAAGTTTTACCCTTGTCCGTCTGTACGTATGTACGTCCCAAAATTGGTTTCCGTTTTCTAACTTTACTTTAGTTTGCCTCAACCAAATGTACTAAAACTTATACCGTTCCAGAGTTATGCCCCTTTACAAATGGAAAAATTGCTGAATTTTTCTTTTCCGTCCTCTGACTTTAGTTTGCCTCAACTAAATGTTATGAAACTTATACACAATGCTTATTACCACTAATCACAGATCATGTTTGAATTTTGGTGGCATCACTTATACCGTTCTATAGTTATGTCCCTTTACAAATTGGAAAAATAGCTAAAATATTCGTTTCCGTTCTCTTACTTTAGTTTGCCTCAACCAAATAATATGAAACTTATGCACAATGTTAATTACCACAACGCTCAGATCAAGTTCGAATTTTGGTGGTGTCACTTTTACCGTTCTACAGTTATGCCTATTACAAATGGAAAACATGCTGGATATTTTATCTAACTTAAGTTTGCCTCAACTAAATGTTATGAAACTTATACACAATGCTTATTACCACAAAACACAGATCAACTTTGAAATTTGGTTAGCGTCACTTTTACATTTCTTGAGTTATGTCTCTTTATAATGTAATATGCAAGCCGGGGCATCATCTGTGTCCCATGGACACACTCCCCATTTATTTTTAATATAAATATGCTTATTATTGCCTTTTTACAATTATTCGAAAGGAAAGGTCTACAGCATCCCCCCTCCCCCGCCCCCAAATAAAACGGTATAGATTGCCTTAGACTAATTTGACACACAATTTTCGGGTTGTAATGCTCTTCAACTTCGTATTTGATTTGGCCTTCCACCTGTTTTGATTAAAGCGTCACTTTTGAATTTTATGTAGACAAAACGTGAGTACCATATTATTAGCCTGATATCTCATAGGTTTTTTATATAGTAACATCTAAATTGACATTTAGTCACTAACGTGTGAGGCAAAATTTGTTCCTGTGAAAAAAGTTCCAGTGGAACTAATTTCACAGGAAATATGTTCTGAGAGAACTTTTTTCACAGACAATATCTATATAATTTGTTCCATCTCTATAAAATAAGTTCCTCACTTTACCTGGTGAAATAAGTTCTGGATTGTGAAATTTGTTCCTTACCTAGTGAAATAAGTTCCGGGTTTGTGAGATTTGTTCCTTACCTGGTGAAATAAGTTCTGGGTTTGTGAGATTTGTTCTTCACCTGGTGAAATAAGTTCCTTGTCTGTGAAATATGATCCACTGGTTAAACAAGTTTTCTTATATACTGAGCACTTGTCATCAGTGAGTTTAAAGTTATCATTCAAGTACAGTATAAAGACGTATTATATTGATAATGTAATAAATAAAAAGTGTAAACATCCAATTTGGATCCTGTGAAGTAAAGCAAATGTTTAATAACATACTCATTAAAAAATACCAAAATGACACTTATGAGCCAGAAAAGAGTAGAATAAGAATAATCATTCAGAAAAAGTATAGTTAAAGAAGAAAATTTGTACTAATTTGAAAAGGACAAAGTGACTGATAAATTATATTAAAAGACAAAAAGAATCGAAAGACACACTCTTTTGAAACTGTGCCATGACCTTATAGCTAAGTACATGTATGCCGACTAGAACACCCATGACAGATTAACAGGGAGGGGGAATACCACATAAAACATAAATGCAAATTATGATACATTACCATCGCTTTTATTTCTTATCTTCATCCTACAGTCACAGTCATGCCTTTAATTGCAAATTTACCCTATGCAAGCACAGTACAGCATCCAGCTTGCATTATAATTTTTAAGTATAACAAGAAAATTATCTCTGTGCAATATGTTGCAAAGGTACTTATTTTCTTTGAAATATGTTTGAGCAGAACTTATTCATTGATTTCTATGAAATATCTTCGTTCAAAACTAATATCACAGGAACTTATTTCACTTTTATTTTAAATTCTAATATTGGAACAAAATTCATGAAGCTGTGTTTTTTGTTTCGGAACTTATTTCACATTTGGTAAAAAAATTTGTCCCGGAACAAATTTTACAGTGCTGGAACATATTTTCTGTTATATAAATTCCTGTGGAGCATATTTCCTATGAAATTTGTTCCACCGGAACAAATGTCACGCCGGAACAAATTTTTTGTTACATATCGACTTGTTAAAGATATTCCTTTAGGCACCGCTTTAATGAACCGTAAATGTAGATAAGCATTGTAATCTTATCGATCCTTTGAATAAACTTATTCTTAAATTATATTAATTTAACACCATAGTAATACTTTATAATACCATTTTTATCAATAATGACGTTGATTGTTCTTTTTGATGGATTAAAACATAACTAAATTGTATGACTGTACATCTATGAAAACTTAAGGTCCTACATCCTGTCATTAAAATGTACTTAAATTTTGGCTTTGCACGACATGTACAAGGTCATATGCCTTTCTCTGACTGTTTATGACGTCTTCATACTAAATTCGTTGGGTGTTAACTGATTGACACTATAGGAGAACATAATTTATCTTTTACTTGTTATTGGCTTTGAACCAGCTCAGGCACAGATCCAGCCTTTTTTAAAAGGGGTGTTCCAACCCCGGACCCCCTCCCCTGGATCCGCCACTGCAGCTTTCAGTAAGTGCGAGTACTCTTAGTTCGGAACTTTGTGTCTTTTGTCTTGATGTTTTAGATGTGTTTGTACTTCGTGCCGATCTGATGAGTCATGTTATTTCCAACCATTTGTTCTTATGTTGTGTTGTGACACCACTGTCCAAGGTTACTGTCCAAGGTTATTGTCCAAGGTTATAAGGAGGAACATTGAGAATACACAAAAATGTTTGAACCCGCAACATTCTGTATATATAATTATCCTAAGTCAAGAGCCTGTAATTCAGTGGTTGTTGTATTTTTATTTTTTTTTAAATTAAGTCGGGCGGGGTTTTTCTTTTCGTTAATTGTTTCACATTGTTTGCTGTTGGGGCCTTTTACGGCATCCTTCAAATTCATTTAATATACACAAGATATATAAAAGATTGGTATCTATAACTGTTGTTTTTTATCTAGAAAGGGATACTTATCAGATTATGCTTTGTTGCTAACGTCACAGTATCCAAATTGCAAATTTATGAAAATCCAAGTTGATTTGAAAAAGTTATAGAAATTTTTAAAAGTGACTTTCTGAATTTTGTCTGAACTGAAAATTTTAACTTGCAGAATGTTAGATGCCAACAAATGTGGGAAATGATATAAGTGAAATGTGGGAATTGATTTAAGTGACTTCCTTGTGTCTGTTAGGGCCATATACATAGTTTGCAGTCAGAACCTTTTTGATTTGATTCAATAAAAAAGTCAATGTCCCATGCACACCTAATTAAGATGTAAGATTAAGTCAGGTCCCATGGAAATTTTGCTTTAAAAAAGTGCATATCCCATGCTAATTTGCACCGGTCCCATGCCTTGAGAAATTTTGACCGGTCCCTAAAGATAAAGTATCCCGAGAAATAATCGACGTCCTCAAAAAGTTAACTTTAAAAAAAACCAAATGGCATATGTCAAGAAGCATATATTTCCTTCAAAATGATTAGTAATTGTTCTAAAAAATGTGAAGAAACAAGAGTGCACACGCTGAAATTTCTCGCCTGCTTTACTTATAAATGAATTTATGTTGAAAATCTATAATATAAAACTTTTACTACAATTATCACATATGAAAATGAGATCACGGTCAGATGAACCATGCCAAACAGCCATGTACATGTACACCTAACAATCATTCCAAACACCAAGTACAGTTGACCTATTGCTTATTATATCGGATAAACTGACAAAACCATGAAAACCAATCACTGACCAATAAACCATGAAAATGAGGTCAAAGTCATATAAACCCTACTAGACAGACATGTACACCTTACAATCATTCATACACCAAATATAATTGACCATTTGCTTATAGTCTCTGAGAAATAGGCTAAACAACAAAAACCAATCATTGTCCAATGAACCATACAAATGAGGTCAAAGTCAGATGAAACCTGCCAGCCGTCATATACACCTTACAATCATTCCATACACCAATTATAATGGCCCTATTGCTTATAGTATCTGAGATACAGACTTGACCATGTAACTTAAACCTTGATCACTGATCCATGAAATGAGTTTGTGGTCAGGTGAATCCAACCTGACGGACATGTACCCAATACCAAATATAGTGATCCTGTTACTCATAATAAATGAGTATTCCACTTAATAAAAGCATATATTTTTAAGCGGTCACTGAAGCGTCAAAATGAGGTCAAGTACAATGGACATATGATAGACGTAAACTTCGTAACATAATGTATCTGCATACAAGGTTTGAAGCATCCAGGTCTTCTACTTTCTGAAATATAAAGCTTTATACAAATAGTTTAGGCCGTCGCCGCCGCCGCCGGATTGTAATCTCTATGTCTTGCATACTGCGACTTTCGTTGCATAAGAGACAAAAACTGCCAAAATATGTGCATTTTGGGTACCCTTTCGTTTCCTGTATATGTCTATACATGCCAGTTTATTTTCGACTTATGAGTTTGAATATCCATTCGGTACCAGTCGCCTCTCCTTTATGCTTTTAGTCTTGAATTTTGATAAAATGATTTTTACAAAAATTTCTGTAGAAAATGTAACTATATGTATTCTACATACCTCTTAAAATTTCCAAATATTTGAAAACGGTAAAGTATTACTGATACTTTATACTTGTCAGTGTATTAATATAATACTTATGAATAAAAGAAAGAGATGTTTTTAAATGGATGATTATATCTATATCATATATGAATGAAGCCTTGACAATAGTTTTGTTCAATCTTTTGTTGATAACTTATTTAAATTATAGTATGTTTTTTTCTAGAAACCAATTAACGTTTTTAGAAAATCCTTCTTCACCACAAGCCGAAACCGAAATCGAAACCGATCCCAATAAGGAAACCGAAACCCAGGTAAGTTTAGTTAGTTGTCAGTAAACTATTATATATAATGAGCTATTATTGTCTTTTATATGTATTTATAATCATAATAATATTGTGTTGTCTGTATCTGTAACTTGATTGATATGCTTGTTATGAGCCCTATTGTGGTAGAGTGTTTTACATTAATATTTATTTTCTTTCAGAATAATTAATATTAATTAGGAGTTTTATTATATGTGTTTTAAGAGTTCATCAATTCTTCTATTCTCTTATGCAATCTTATTTTCTTGGTATGTTATATCTTCTTAGTACTGTAGTTCTACTCTATTTTTCTTGTTCATTAGTCAGCCAGTCATGAGTCATAATATCTTGTCTTCTATTGGTCATAGTCACTGAGTTCAAAGTTTTACTACACTTTTTGAATACCTTGAGAGAAAGATACACATCATAACAGCCATATTTAAAATATTTAAATTACATTATATTCTGGATACTAATTCCACATTAATCAGGTAAGTTACTAATATTTCTAAGTCTTTAATATTTACACAGTTTTCCTTTAGTTTGAATCTGAGAGAAAATGTATTTTTGAATAAGTCAGAATGATTGTGTATGAATGATAGATATTTTATTTTAAAGAAGTATTTTCATGAACTCAGAGAATTAATATATCATAGATATATTAATGATACATGTATTGGTACAGTTATATTATTATTATAAAAGGTCTTAAGTAATGTTTATTGAATATTAAACTTATTGTGTATAAATGATATGCAGATATAATTTAGTTCATTAGACTTATGTAGGTTATATTTGTATTTTTAACAGGACCAGAATATCTCGATGTTATTATGATGTTTCCATATAGGATATAGACCTGTGTACCATATACATGGTAAGATCAGTGTTTTCAATGTATTTTTAGTTTACTGTATTGTCTGTGTTTGTCTATTTAATTTAAGTTCAATAAATGTATTGTTTGTATCTTTAGCATGACTGAATCAAAAATAATTTCTAAACTTTATTTCATTAACCGTACAAACGGAAATAATTCAATCTTAAAAAAATATCAAAAATCTCTCTCTTCTCATGAAACACTAGCTTTAAAAAGTCTTTCTTGCACTCAATGCTATAGCATATCTAAACCTACAAGACCAAGATGTTCTCCGGAGGAACACGGTCTTCTATTAGAATTTCTTGAAACGCTCCAGCGAAATTATGGAACCTGTCTATGGTATCTTGTGGATGAATCACGTTTTCTGACAGCAAAATCTGTTGTCTTTGTCCAAAAGTACGTAGGTCATAAAATGTCATTCCCTCAGTAATACTGATCTTAACAATCGGTCCATGTTCTTGTTGATTTTTTGCTCTAAAGTTAATAGCACATTCTAGAGAACCACAGGCCGATATAAAGCGGGATTGGCCGTTGGATCCATATGCAACATGACGCACTATTGAACTTGGATAGTAAGGAGCTTTGGCAGAGAGGCCATTCGCTGGAATCTCGTCTGTTCTTAAAAGCCTATAAACTTCCATCCGCACTGCCATATCTAAATAAATTAAAACATAAATGCGTAGAGTTCAGAAACAATTAATGATGATACAAAACAAAATTCGATACCATAGAAAACTATGCTATGTTCCTTTGCAAAAATGCAAACTCTTTTAAAAATATTTTGATGTCAGACAAATCAACTTGAATATTGATTAAACTTTAAAAAAAATTAAAAACAAATCAACAATATACTTGTGTTTATACAATTCATTGCCCGGAGTCTAGAACAAGGCTGGATAAATTTAACAAAGATGCGTTTTCCTAAACTTAAATTGGTTTCAGTTCTGGAAGTCGCATTCATCACATATTTTAAAGGAAAAATACTGAACATAACCCACTAGCAATACTTAAAGGTTGCTAAAACAATCAACAAAATATCGAATCTAGGAAAAGATCTCTAAAGGAATATATTCTAGATAAACGATTTTTATAAGCTACCTTTACACGGTACGATTTTCCATCCAATTTGATACCGTTGCCCAGGTATATCGTACAACGTTCTATTCACACAATACGATTTTCCATTCGATTAATTAAACAAACGACATCCGATTTTAGTGTTCACACGATTCCATTTTAGTCGAAAGCATGTGCACAGGTAAAAATCGAATGAATATCGAAAGGAAAATCGTACCGTGTGAACGCAGCTTTACATAACCTGAATACAATTTTGCATCGTTCATATAGGTACATGCCCAGAGAAACATGTATGGACGTATAATAAAGCAACACTGTTTTACCCCATAATTTATAAGCTTTGTGTAGTCCTTTTGACTTCTACATTTGCAGAAAAAAAATCTTAAAAATCCTTTTTTTTCAACCCATTAATTCTTTTCTTGATGTATGTTAATTTATGATATATACGAACACTGACTATTAATTTCAACATGTTTGGTCTTTAGTTTAAAAAGTTACTTATTAGGTCTCTGTAAGAGTCTCTGTGTTAATTTTATTTTTTTGAGGTATTAAGACATGCTTAAGCTTGCTGGAGTAAGGATAAATAATCTAATAGACATGATATATAGAAGTCAAACCGTCTATACCTTTGATCAGCGTGTTCGTATTAAATTGCTATAATTGTTTATTTGTATCGAAATGAGATGACAAATTATAATTAAACTTACATACGTGGTAGGTTTGATTGTCAAAGTTACATATGGAAAAGTGAATACCGTAATGTAAACTTCGGTAAAAGCGTATTGTATACTAAATAGTTGTACTGATATTCGTTGTTCGTATGTGTATATGTATTTGTTTTTAAAAGCATAAATACTGACACGGTTAGTTCCTTTTTAAAAATGCATCTATGCTTACGTACTAAAGATATGCATACGAGAATTATGTGAGCTTAAGAAGAATACTTTTTATTCCACCCCCCCCCCCCCCCCCCCCTACCTTGCGGAGGGCGATTAAGTTTTACCCTTGTCCGTCTGTACGTATGTACGTCCCAAAATTGGTTTCCGTTTTCTAACTTTACTTTAGTTTGCCTCAACCAAATGTACTAAAACTTATACCGTTCCAGAGTTATGCCCCTTTACAAATGGAAAAATTGCTGAATTTTTCTTTTCCGTCCTCTGACTTTAGTTTGCCTCAACTAAATGTTATGAAACTTATACACAATGCTTATTACCACTAATCACAGATCATGTTTGAATTTTGGTGGCATCACTTATACCGTTCTATAGTTATGTCCCTTTACAAATTGGAAAAATAGCTAAAATATTCGTTTCCGTTCTCTTACTTTAGTTTGCCTCAACCAAATAATATGAATACAAAACACAGATCAACTTTGAAATTTGGTTAGCGTCACTTTTACATTTCTTGAGTTATGTCTCTTTATAATGTAATATGCAAGCCGGGGCATCATCTGTGTCCCATGGACACACTCCCCATTTATTTTTAATATAAATATGCTTATTATTGCCTTTTTACAATTATTCGAAAGGAAAGGTCTACAGCATCCCCCCCCCCCCCTCCCCTGCCCCCAAAAAAAACGGTATAGATTGCCTTAGACTAATTTGACACACAATTTTCGGGTTGTAATGCTCTTAAACTTCGTATTTGATTTGGCCTTCCACCTGTTTTGATTAAAGCGTCACTTTTGAATTTTATGTAGACAAAACGTGAGTACCATATAATTAGCCTGATATCTCATAGGTTTTTTATATAGTAACATCTAAATTGACATTTAGTCACTAACGTGTGAGGCAAAATTTGTTCCTGTGAAAAAAGTTCCAGTGGAACTAATTTCACAGGAAATATGTTCTGAGAGAACTTTTTTCACAGACAATATCTATATAATTTGTTCCATCTCTATAAAATAAGTTCCTCACTTTACCTGGTGAAATAAGTTCTGGATTGTGAAATTTGTTCCTTACCTAGTGAAATAAGTTCCGGGTTTGTGAGATTTGTTCCTTACCTGGTGAAATAAGTTCTGGGTTTGTGAGATTTGTTCTTCACCTGGTGAAATAAGTTCCTTGTCTGTGAAATATGATCCACTGGTTAAACAAGTTTTCATATATACTGAGCACTTGTCATCAGTGAGTTTAAAGTTATCATTCAAGTACAGTATAAAGACGTATTATATTGATAATGTAATAAATAAAAAGTGTAAACATCCAATTTGGATCCTGTGAAGTAAAGCAAATGTTTAATAACATACTCATTAAAAAATACCAAAATGACACTTATGAGCCAGAAAAGAGTAGAATAAGAATAATCATTCAGAAAAAGTATAGTTAAAGAAGAAAATTTGTACTAATTTGAAAAGGACAAAGTGACTGATAAATTATATTAAAAGACATAAAGAATCGAAAGACACACTCTTTTGAAACTGTGCAATGACCTTATAGCTAAGTACATGTATGCCGACTAGAACACCCATGACAGATTAACAGGGAGGGGGAATACCACATAAAACATAAATGCAAATTATGATACATTACCATCGCTTTTATTTCTTATCTTCATCCTACAGTCACAGTCATGCCTTTAATTGCAAATTTACCCTATGCAAGCACAGTACAGCATCCAGCTTGCATTATAATTTTTAAGTATAACAAGAAAATTATCTCTGTGCAATATGTTGCAAAGGTACTTATTTTCTTTGAAATATGTTTGAGCAGAACTTATTCATTGATTTCTATGAAATATCTTCGTTCAAAACTAATATCACAGGAACTTATTTCCCTTTTTTTTTAAATTCTAATATTGGAACAAAATTCATGAAGCTGTGTTTTTTGTTTCGGAACTTATTTCACATTTGGTAAAAAAATTTGTCCCGGAACAAATTTTACAGTGCTGCAACATATTTTCTGTTATATAAATTCCTGTGGAGCATATTTCCTATGAAATTTGTTCCGGCGGAACAAATGTCACGCCGGAACAAATTTTTTGTTACATATCGACTTGTTAAAGATATTCCTTTAGGCACCGCTTTAATGACCCGTAAATGTAGATAAGCATTGTAATCTTATCGATCCTTTGAATAAACTTATTCTTAAATTATATTAATTTAACACCATAGTAATACTTTATAATACCATTTTTATCAATAATGACGTTGATTGTTCTTTTTGATGGATTAAAACATAACTAAAATGTATGACTGTACATCTATGAAAACTTAAGGTCCTACATCCTGTCATTATAATGTACTTAAATTTTGGCTTTGCACGACATGTACAAGGTCATATGCCTTTCTCTGACTGTTTATGACGTCTTCATACTAAATTCGTTGGGTGTTAACTGATTGACACTATAGGAGAACATAATTTATCTTTTACTTGTTATTGGCTTTGAACCAGCTCAGGCACATATCCAGCCTTTTTTAAAAGGGGTGTTCCAACCCCCGGACCCCCTCCCCTGGATCCGCCACTGCAGCTTTCAGTAAGTGCGAGTACTTTTAGTTCGGAACTTTGTGTCTTTTGTCTTGATGTTTTAGATGTGTTTGTACTTCGTGCCGATCTGATGAGTCATGTTATTTCCAACCATTTGTTCTTATGTTGTGTTGAGACACCACTGTCCAAGGTTACTGTCCAAGGTTACTGTCCAAGGTTATAAGGAGGAACATTGAGAATACACAAAAATGTTTGAACCCGCAACATTCTGTATATATAATTATCCTAGCTCAAGAGCCTGTAATTCAGTGGTTGTTGTATTTTTATTTTTTTTTAAATTAAGTCGGGCGGGGTTTTTCTTTTCGTTAATTGTTTCACATTGTTTGCTGTTGGGGCCTTTTACGGCATCCTTCAAATTCATTTAATATACACAAGATATATTAAAGATTGGTATCTATAACTGTTGTTTTTTTATCTCGAAAGGGATACTTATCAGATTATGCTTTGTTGCTAACGTCACAGTACCCAAATTGCACCCATTTTGCAAAAAAAGCAGCGGAACTCTTAAAAGTTTTTTTAGAAAATAAATAATTTGTATTTTTATAATTTGACATTATGCACGTCTTCCAACATAGCTAAATATATTTCACAAAACAGTCAAATTATATATTTAAAAATAAAGTATCCCGAGAAAAAATCGACGTCCTCAAAAAGTTAACTTAAAAAAAAAATTGGCATATGTCAAGAAGCATATATTTCCTACAAAATGATTAGTAATTGTTCTAAAAATGTGGAGAAACAAGAGTGCACACGCTGAAATGTCTCGCCTGCTTTATTATAAATGAATGTATGTTGAAAATCCATAATTTAAAACTTTTACTACAATTATGACATATGAAAATGAGGTCACGTTCAAATAAAACATGCCCAACAGACATGTACACCTTACAATCATTCCAAACACCAAATACAGTTGACCTATTGCTTATAGTATCGGATAAACTGACAAAACCATAAAAACCAATCACTGACCAATGATTCTGGTTGAATGAACCATGAAAATGAGGTCAAGGTCATATAAACCCTACCAGACAGACATGTACACCTTACAATCATTCATACACCAAATATAATTGACAAATTGCTTATAGTATCT